GACAAAAGAACCTGTGGCATTTTCATTATGTACAAAAACAAGAAAAACCTTTTGGGATTAGCAATGAGAATGGGCCTTGTGTTGACTGATACCTCGAGGACTTACCTTTTTAATGTCTTGATACTTTCTTATTTATCTCTGGTTAACTCTTTCAGCTTAGGTTTAATTAATGCATCTCTCTTTTTTTTTTTTTTTTTTTTTTTTTTTATTTTTTTTTTTAGCTTTGACTTTGTACATGATGGAAATGCATGTGATAATAGTGCTGCACATTTCTGCTATTTTGTCAGTGCATTACTTGAAGCCCTATTCGTACGTTTTGTATTTTATATTCACCTGTCTATATGTTTGAGACTTTTTTCTTTTGCATTGAAGTTCTGTTTATATCAATCACATTATCAATATTAGCTATATCAGTTTGTGTGCATTGTTATCTTTGTTTTTTTTTTTTTTTATTAGAAATTACTTCAAGATGCGAAATTGCTGTACAGAGTAGATATTACTATAAATAATATCAGTACATTGATAGATTATAATGTGCTCACAAATAAGTTTATCTATGAAGTAAATAAAAAGATTGATCTTTTTTTTATATCTGAGTTAAGCTTAATAGATTGGATTAGAGATTAGCAAGGTCCAATTAATTTATCTAACAATTGACATTTTACTTTGCAGGCTTGTCTAAAGGTGTTGGTTTTATTCGCTTTGATCAAAGATGTGAAGCTGAACGTGCCATTCAGAAGTTAAACAACCACATTCCTGAGGGTTGTTTGGACCCCATTACAGTTAAATTTGCTAATTCCCCAAGCTCCAACAAAAATTTGGCCGGTATGGCCCCCTTAGCCCTGGCCACCTATCTGTCACCCACTCATCGACGCTTTTTCGGACCCATTCATCACGCCACTGCCTCAAGCCGATTTAGGTGAGTTTCACTTGAAAGGACAGTTTGTGTTGGTTCCCTATTTTCTGTAAGTAAAAACAGTTTAAGTAATGTAATGTTAGTTAATTATTTCTTGGCATTTTCGCTCTCAGGTACTCACCTTTAGAGTCTGGTCTTCTACAGAACACTATCCTACCCACAACACTCACCACGGCAGCTTCGGCAGCAGCAGCTGCAGCAGCAGCAACTAGTAGCAATTCATCCACCACAGCCCTCAATGCCACCGGCTGGTGTATATTCGTCTATAACTTGGCCCCAGACACTGAGGACAGTGTACTGTGGCAGCTCTTTGGGCCCTTTGGAGCTGTGCAGAGTGTGAAAGTCATCCGGGATTTTACAACACAGAAGTGCAAAGGATTCGGTTTCGTCACAATGACCAACTACGAGGAAGCTTTGATTGCAATACAAAATCTGAATGGATTTACTTTAGGGAACCGAGTCCTGCAAGTTTCATTTAAGGCAAATGGGCGTAAACCATGACTGTAGTTTTCATACTTATGTATCACTCTATTTACTCCTGTAATCCAACTTAAATTACTAGTGTACAGAAAGAAAACAAAAGAGCTTATACAAAACTAAAATTGAACACAAAAACTCTTACCCCTCCTACCATAGACTTTACATGCCAGTTTGTATGAATACATAGAATAGTTGAAATTAGGCATCTCTGAATCCTCATAATATAACTGCCTTCACATATAGAGCTGAAACTTGTTAATTGTTAACAATAACTAACTCTTTTATCAATGAACAAAATATCAGTTACTTTCCATTACTATATATATAATATATATTTCATTTGCACATTATGTATAACAGAACAAATTAATAATGATATACATCTATTGCTATATTCTACCTATATGCTCAGGATTCTTCAACATGTTTATATATACATATATATATATATATCTGGAAAAAAAAAAAAAGCTTACAAGTGATATATAAGAATAACAAAATAAGTCTATGTCTGATTTAGATTAGATTTATTGAATACCTGATTTTTATGTAGTACTTAGTCTTAAAAAAAAAAATCAACAGAGTTTTATAAGCATACAACCCACACAGAGAGCCTAGCACTTTAAAAACCAAACAAGCAATAAGTGACATTGTCATCACTTTTTGTAATGCTGTGAAGAAATCTGCTAACCACTTTGACTTTTTTTTTTAAACTAATGTTGGGTGATATATATTTTTTTTATATAAAACAAACAGTTCATTTGGGGCTGAAATGTAAATTTGTAAAGTTTTTCATTATGCTGTAAGGACATATTTTACAACTAATTTATAACCAATTTTTTTTTTTGTTATTTTTTTTTTTTTAAATGTATTTTTCTTTACTTCTCCAGTTTTTCTCTTTTTCCAAAACCCTGATTTTAAAGAATGTTTATTCTAAAACAAACAAAAAAAAAAGCAGCAAAATCACTTCTCTATACGACCTTTTCCCCTTTTTCTCCTTGTGCATAATCAATAACATTTCAATGAATGTTTTATTCTTTTTGTAGAATTTGAGTTGGATTTTTATTTCATGGCTCATTATTTTCTTTCCTTTTTTTTTTTTGTTGTTTTCTTTTTTTTTTAACATTTAAAAATTTTTTTTTTAAAAGCTACAATTTGCAAAACATAACTGCATAATATTTGTCACGTATGGATGTTTGTAATGTATTTACTGCGCTTCAGGTGCACGTAGAAGCTCAACGGCTCTTATTTTTATGTCTTTTGATTCTCATTATGTAGACTTTGTGTTCTAGTTCAAACCATCAAGCTTTTATTAGTTTAATTCTTTTCTACTGGTCTTCTTTGTTGTCTTTTATTTTCTTCCATTTCATTTCATTTAATTAGTTTACTTTTTTTTTTTTAGGTTTTAGTTTTTCTGGCTCCGAGAAGGAAACAATTTTGTTCTATGCTTTATCTATTAAACATTTTTTCTTCTGTTTATATACTGAGTTTGTGTTTTTGTTGTGGCATGAAGTATACATTTTTGTTTCTTTTACCTATATATATATACATATATATATCATCTCATATATATAAATAAACCATCTCTTTGTTTAGCCATCCTATGTAATGTTTTACAATGACTGACTTGGTAAATTTTTTTGAATCATCTTTTTCATTCAAGCTGTAACCTTTGAATAATTTGAATATAAGAGTTTGATGTAGCATGATCATCATTGTTTTAACTCTAACCATCAGTGTACTAACTATTGAAAACTTTGGAAAGACATCAGAGTACAAATTCTAAACCATTGATTACTTTAGAACAATGTTGATAATGACATGAACTTGAGTCTCTTCATTGGCTTTGTTTACTCATGATTTTATTTCTGTTTGCTCTTTGTGTAAGCCTACCAAATTGCAAATATTTGTTCCGTCAGTTTCACTTTGATGTTTTTTTTTCTCTCCTACAACTAAATAACTGGTTGGGTTAAACCGGTTTGTGTCATTGGTGTTATGTTATTAGAACTGTGAGGAATTGCTGATTTGAAATCTGAGCAAATAGTTGAGATCTTCCATATCGCAAGTTTGCTTATGCCCATTTTTTTTTTCATTGGGTCATCTTCATTGTTCAAGTGTTGATTGTTCTTTGAACTTGAAATAATTTTTTTGTTTGAGAATCACCCATTCGCTAAGTATTTTTCTTATATATGACAAAGACTTAATGAGTTCTTGAACTGATTGATTCTAAAAGTCTATATGAAATCAATGCACAGTAAGTAATGTCTACCCACCTCGTGGCTATCTGATATAATGAATTGCCTTGTACACACAATTCAGTAATGTTAAAGTAATCAATGTTCTCTTGGTCCTTGCTGGTAAAAAACAATAACACGATGGCATTATAGCATACATAGCCCAATGGAATGTTTCTCTCTAGATGTATTCCTGCAACTGCCAAGTGGACTCATAATGGAATGGGCAGCCTTTTCATTGATTGTTTCATTCTATCGTCATCGCTACTATGTGATCAATATCTTTGTTAACTGTGTTTTCGTTGCGTTTTGAACGTTGTTTTCCATTGCTGTCCAATGATTGGCACACAATCTTGGAAATGTTGAGCACTGTTGCATGCTAAGTGGGAAGTGATTTTTCAACTAAACAATAAAGCCTGGCTTGTTGATGTCACAAATTTGGATCTCAATCGTAGCATCGGTAACACATTCATCTTGAGTACTGACCTCATTAGGATGTTTGGGATACGCGAGATGGCAGTATTTTTTCAATAGGGTGTCATGGATTGAGTCAAGTCCTGATTTCGCATAGATTTCTCAGAAACCTATAGCCTATTTATTATCAGTAGGCCTAAAAGTGCTATCGGAATAAGCAAAACACTAGTCTGACTTAGGCCTTCAAGTCGCAACAGTGCTTAGCAATGCTTTTGTCTCTAATTTCTCTTTCTACTGTTGTATACAGTTAAAGTTGAAACATGTGATAGTATTATACATAGGCAAATAAAATAACCAGTATGGGTTGTTTTTGTTTACGGGAAATGCAAAAGGCACCTGACGTTTGCCATAGAACTCTTCTATTGTATGCAACATTTTGTGCTTATCCCAGTGCAACAGAAATGAGTGCTGTTTGTGACTGCTGTTGGGTTTTGTCAAACAAACACACAATAACCCTAGACGCTTCTTTGGTTATTCAGTCATATTGGTCTTCAATCACTATTGTGTATACCATGTATTATATTTATATCTATTATATACATTATATCTCTTAGGGTGATGATATATATATTTCTGTTTGGGAGATTTTATTGCTCCCAAGTTATTAGTATTTTATAATGTTCCGACCCTGTCACAAACTTTTTTTTTGTAAGATCCATATCTCTTTTTCTGAAACAAAGCAAAAAAAATGCTCAGATGGTGCGAAGATTTGAGTGCATTCATTCATGACTATTGTATACGTAAACCAAATTAGTTGAGGCTAAAGTGTTGACAATTTGACAAATGTCTACACTTTGTATTCCGTTGTCCCGCGGTAAAACATCGTCTTTTTTCTTATATATATATATATATATATATATATATATATATATATATATATATATATATATATATATATATATATATATATATATATATTTCTCACTTCAGATCTTTTCGTTTGAACACATTTCCATCCCTGGTCCTCTCCAAATGTCATCATGTCTAAGATATAAACACAAAAGTCATTCTTCTAACTTCTTTCTTTGTTCTCTTTCCCCCCTCCCCCGCCCTCGCCTTCCTTCTACCCCTTCCACCTTCAACTGTTTAAGGCACAATGCGCCTATCAATAATATATGCAATTCCATTTTATATATGACGCCACACTATTTGTGGTCATTTTACAAACATGTATTTTTTTTTTTTTTAAAGCTCTCTTAAAGTATGGTAGAACTTATTATGCTCATCATGACTGAATTATTAATCAAATACATGACAGGCAATAACACACAAAAATAGGCGACGGGCAATCAGTACCACGCCTCTTTTTTTTTTTTCATGAACAAAACCTGAACCATTGTCTGTATCTAACCATCTTATAACTAGATACGGAACAATTAGTCAAAACATTCATGCAGATGTATTGAAAGTAGGTGGGAACAATGAGAGTAGGATTGAATTCTGTGTTGAAATATGACATATGTATCTTGATTTCTTTCTGTCCGACATGATCCATTGTTTGTCCACCTTCACTTTTAGTTCAACTTCTGTTGGATACTTGGTTCTTTAATTTCATCCGTTTGTTTTCCCAACCCATTTCTTGTACACTCTTTGGTTCATCTCTTTGTTCTTCGTCTCAATGTTGTCACTTCATTTGACAATGTATTCCACATAGCCATGCAGCCCATTGTGTTGAACTATATACCCTTTTTATGTGACATTCTTGGACTTGTTTAGAATCAAGCGGTACGTTTATGTTGTCGCCTGTACCCTGTCGCTTCCTTAGGAAGGCAAAACTGTGTTGATTCAAACGTAGAGCTGTTTTGAATCCGTCATATGTTTACTAGTAGTTGTTTTTTTTCCTTTGAAGATATTGTAACCCGAACAAGTTGCTACCAAAATCAATACACCAAATGCTAGTTGATGGCGATTTTTTCTTAATTTTGTGTTTTTAAATCAAACACCAATGAAGTGGTTTGGTCTAGTCCTAGATCTAGATCTCTTTAGATTTGACTGTTTGCTTCCCAAGTAGGCGGCTGTTCATGGTCTAAGTTTCTTTTTATTTTTTTGACTTTACTTTGTTGAAGATATCTCCATATTTCTCAATGTCTAGTCTCTAAATGCTGTCTCGCTATTTGAGCTCTTCTTGAAACAACTCATTCGTATTCTATATATTGGTTGTTTTAATAGTTTTCATATTGCGTGTTGGATTCATTTTTAATCGTTTGGTGTTTATTATATTAATTTTTTTTTTCAGCGCCAAAAAAAAAAAAAGAAAAAAAAAAGAATTTGTCTATTTAATTCCAATTCATTCCAAATGTTTATCATATCATTGAGTTAGTCTCCTTTGTAGAAATATAATTGGCATGGGTTTAAATCCCAGCCATAGAATGTTTTCAAAGTGATCTCATGAAACAGAAACCAAGCTAACACCGAAATTAAGTTGTCCTTGATATTAATTTTGTTTGTCCTCCCACCCAAAGCATCTTGAAAATTATTTTGTTCTAGCGGTTGGTACTTAACATTTAATTTCGGTTGAATTTCATCTCCTAGATTGCGTTCAATTACTAATACTAGTTGGTTGTCATTTCAGTTTTGACGAAAAATAAAATGTGTGGACTTGTGTGAGACGCGTCATTTTAACCCTAACTTTTTGTCCCCAATTTTGTGTTTCTGTTAACTGAAACATTGGTGTTTAGAAATGTTGAACTTATATTTTGAAGTACTCGAACAAAAAGGCGGCTGTGATGTCTTCATTCGTGTTTCAGTTAACAGAAATACACTTTTATTATTCTTTACTTTCTACTAAATATTCTGTGCCAGTTGGTGTGCTTTTTTGCCTTTTCTGTTAGTTGGCATTCTCTTTTTGTTTTTTTCACTATTGTTGTTTGACTGTATTTTTGTTCTCCTCTTTGTTGCTAGGGCTGGAACTCTAGTCCTAATTTTAGAACCCTCTCCCACCTCAGCAACCACACCGGGCCACTTGATTTCAATTTGATTAATTTGGTTGGTTGTTAGTTTCTTGGTTCGAATACTTTCCTCTTTTAGTTCCATAAAATACACTGAATTTGAAAGGACACTAAAACTTAACTAATTACCAAAAAAAAAAACAACAAAAACTATAATGGTCGTGCAGTGCGCAGAATCGGATGAAAGCAATAAGATTGACATGCCCACAGAACTGCGCCAACGACAAATTCTAATGGTTCTACTAGTGAACACACAAAACGGACTACTGTTGCCATGTTAATTGTGTTTGATGATCTGCATTATGAAGCTATCAAAGGCTCTTAGACTGTTGTCCTGTTTTATTCAAGGTAGTTTGATTGTTCTGCAATATTTGTACTTTTACATGTGAAATAAAACAAAAAAAATAAATAAAAAAAAATATGACAAAATAATGTCAGTGTCTTGCTGTCGTCTGTTTGTTTGAGTATTAAATGGCTGATGTATTTCTGAAGAACCTGTTTAGAATAAGAGTCGAGTCCAATCAAAACGTTTAGACTCTTGCTAAATAATTTCCTTATGGCTAAGACTCACTCTGTCGTCTTAACGTTTTGAAGAAAAAGTTTTAATGTAGTAACTGTCAACTTGTAATTAAATGTTAAATTCTTTGTGATCAATGGTGAGAAAAAAAGTCTGGCGCCATAGTGAGTCGAGCCAAAGTGTCCATTTGTTACATCAAAACTAGCTGTGTATTGTAACAGTCCAACTCTGTTTCTCGGGCTTATGTTCCCTCCAAAGTGATGATTGCATTATAACACTAGTAGAGAATGTCACGGAAGTGAACCCATCCCTCCCCGCTACACGCCTTCCTTGCACATTCACCATGTTGTCTGTCTGTTAACTCGCACTGTCTTGCACACTCAATCCCTTCTTTCCTGGTAGCATTGAATGGAAGCACCATAAGAAGAACAAATAGAAGGTAAAGGCATTGTTTTGTCATCTAGCTCAATACAACCATAGTTATTGAAAAAATGTTTCTTCAAAAGAAACTTCTGTATCAATGGATACGCGAGGATTAACTAACAAATATTACCTTGCTTTAATTTAAAGGCTTAAACGTAATAAAACTAGCCACTAGTTTTACTGGTGTAATATATAGAATACCGTACTATAAGGTAATACCAACATTAAGTCAAAGAAGCCATTATTACATTTTTGGTGGCTCTGAGTAATCTCTGTAGGAGGTTGTTACAAATGTCCACGTGTTCCTCTTGTTGAACAAAGACATTATTAGGTCAACCCGGGCACTACATTAGGAGAAGAAATCTGGAAGAAAAAAAAAGTAGTTGAAATAACCAGATAACCATTACTGAAACTTGAAGAGAGAGAAAGAGAATGTAATGTCAGTTTACCGAAGTGTCTACTAACTACGTTTTGAAAAGTGAATTTCACTTGGGCTTTCCATAACAGCGACAACAATTTCAAAGATGTTACGGTACGCTTTAGAATTCATTGCAACCGACTATAATATAACTCTATTTTACAACAGAGTATAGGATTCAAATTTCCTGGCTTCCTGTACTAAGTCAAATGGGAACATGACGAATGTTTGGACTTGCAGGGAGTTTGTTTTTTTTAAAGAAAATTTCAAACTTGTTTTGGTGCTACAGATTGTGTCGTCTAATTAGTTGTGTGGGACGTTCATGTGTAGTTTTGTCATAATAGAACAGATGCACTAATTAAAAAATAACAAAACAAAAAAAAAATGAAATGGAGCCAAAATAAACTAGCACTGAAGGGTCAAGAGCTCTAGTTTACACAGCTGCTGAAAACAACATGATTACAAGGCTCAGTGTGATAAGTGGGTTTAATAAAGTAATAGCATAGCATTAAAGAAGTAATCCTAGATGTATTAGATGACTCGTTACAGAAAAAATCATCTCAATGTATCTATTTCAAGGCATTCATGCAATAAAAAAAAGTCAATACCAAATATATAAACATATAGGAACATATGGTCTTGTTAAGTACACTATTATTGAATTACTCAACAGACAAACTTGCGATAATTGTTTAGATTATTTTTTTTGTCACTAAGTAGGGGTCTGAAGTGTCGCAACAAGTTACGAATCGCTTATACTAGAGCAGCACTGTCGTTTGGATTTATCAATGGTCCCGGGTTCAAACCCTTCCCGCTCCCATCCCCCGTAGTCTGCGGGAGGTTTGGACTAGGAAGTAAACTCTCTTCAACTCTGAAGGAACATCCGACACACGTAAAACACCGTTACAACAGCACTAATTCTATTTTAATAATAATCTCAGAAACGTTTTTCTGTTTCCTTTTTCAATTCAAGCTTAGAAACAAATAAGAGCGTATTCTTTTAAATTATTTGTAGTTTTTTTACTTTAGAAACTTTTTCGTGGATTCGCGGAGAAAGGTTTACCTAGGAGACGGTTTGAGTACTGCAATCCAAACAAACAAATTAAAACACCTTTGAGTAAGGTATTCAAGCACTTTATTCTACCCAATCACAAGTTTAGCCTCGACTTAGGTACCTAACCGTTTTAATCAACTAAAATTCACAAAGGAAGCTGAAAAAAATATTTTGGTTTTCTTTACCCATCAACCCCTGAGTTGTGCTTGACATATATGTTGAAAAAATACAATGCCATCTAAAGCTATATACTCCAACTATAAAGAAAAATAAGCTAAAATGTACATATTTGTTAACTACATCTCTCTCCCTCCCTCTCTCTCTCTTGCATATATATATATAAGAGAGAGACAGGCCTCTAAAGACTGAGAAATTCATTGCTACTTTCAAGTGAATAGAGACAGAGACCCTAAAATGATAATTTCAGGTGTACACTTACTTAGAGGGTTACGAGCGGCACACACCTCTATAATTAGTACACAAAGACCTGTATCCTTCGATAAATCTTTAAGGTGAGCCATACGACAATGGCCAAAAATCCAGGCACGATAATCTGGGCCAGATGTTACGAAGATAAAGGTCTCTTAATGTCTTATTTGCCCAGTGCAGGTGCTAGAGTGCGTCTATATTAGACAGCATATGGAGTTGGCCTACTGGGGCGATATGCGATATTGAAGATTTATATGCGATAAGCAAAAAATGTGCAGACCTACCAAGATAACTGTTATTATTATTTGTATGTAAACATTAATGATGAGTTATGCAATGGAATAGGCTTGACGAAAGCTATTTTTCTTATGTGGTAGGGGTGAGGTTTTAAGCATCGGCTGAAATTTCCAAGATTTATTGGCATAAATATGGAGTATGGTGATTGTGACGAGTCCAGGACCGCTGTCCCATAATGCCATAAATGTTGTTTTTTTTTATTGGTTGTTGTTTTAAATGTCTCGGAAGTTTCTTTTTGAAATAAAAGGTCATCTTCCAGGCAGACCCTCAGCAGGATGGTAAATGATGGCAGTGGCCGAGGTTAGAACTCGAGACTATATTGATGACAGGGCTTAGTACACGACCTGGCAGCCATATAGACTTTAAACATGGAGTTTGGAATATTACTCACGTGTTAGTAGGACAAAGAAACTTTTTTTTTCTGGGCATAGTTTTGATAAACATCCTCAGCTTATGGGTTTTGAAATGTAGAAACAAACGCTGAGGCAGTTTTTTAGCGGCTGTCGAAAGAGGAAAAGAAGCTATTAGTTTTGCGTGGAATGTCCGTCCGTCCGTCCCGTTTAGATCTCGTAAACTATAAAAGATATTGAAAATCCGACATCATGATATTTTAGACCTTTCAAAGCTCTAATGCAACGGCTACTTTTTCTTTTCTAAAAGTGAAAAATTTAATTTTTAAAATCTACTATGCAAGCAGTTTTTTCATAAAAATACACAATTACCAGTATTCACAATTAATAGTAACAAACACAGGAAGCTATTTAGTTAGGGAGATTTCTATTTACCATATATATGTTTAACACATTGCTAAGTTATTAACTTCTGTCATACTAACTAAAGTGACTACAAAGAGAGAAAAAGTTTACTTTTTTTAAAAAGAAAAAAAATCTTTTTAGTATGCATAGATCTAGAAGTGGAACATAATTTAACACAACAATTAATAAGTAGTTTTTCATATTATCACGTGAACGGGCGGTTTGCATAGGGAGCATGGAACACTTAACTAAAGGATTATTTTTTTTTACGAAAATTTTTTTTCCTTGAGGCTTTGTAAAAGAGATTGACACTTTACAAAACAATTACATAATCATTATTAGACATCCGTTAGGTCAAGTTCATATCTACCTTTACATTCACTTTCACCTTTCCCTTGGTCTGCTGAACCGTTGGGGCACCACACAA